CCTCCTCCTTCCTCGCCCCCTTTTTTCCCCCCTCTTCCCGCTTCCTCCTTCTTGCTTCCTCCTTTCGCTTCTTCGTTCCTGAGTGATCTTCCTCCTCCTCCTCCTTCTTCACCACTGTCCGTGTTAGTGTCCTTTATCTCCTCTTCTTCTTCTTCTTCTTTTTATTCGTCTTCTTCTTCCTCTTTCTCCTGTTTCTCCTCTTCTTCCCCCTGTGACTGCGGCATGATATCACTCCCGAACTGCTCCAGTGGCTACGGCTCTTCTCGTTCCGGGGAAGTGCGCGACTCCTCCTGGGATGCCCGATGGACGCTCGCTCGCTCGCTCGATCTTCCTCCCCTCCTCGTCCCCTCGTGATCCCCCTCCCCCTCACCTTCTTCGTCCCGCTGCCTCTCCTCCTCCCCCATCCTCCCCGTCCTTCCGCGTTCCCCTGCCCCTCCCTCCCCCTCCCCCCCTTCCCTTCCCTTCCTCTGCTTTTCTTCCTCCCCCCCTTCTCTCCCCTCTCCCCTCCCCTCCCCTCTCCCCTCCTCCTTATCCTCCCTCCCCTCCTTCTCCTTCCCTATCCTCCCCCTCTAACCTCCACAATTACTCAATATGAATACTACTCTCCCTCTTCCTCTGATGACGTCTTGGGAGTGTTCGCTCCCCCCCCCCCGCGTAATGTTTTTTTTTTTTTTTTTGCACAGGTTTCCCCGGAGTTAGGTTTTCGCCTGCATAGGCGCCGGCCTCATTTTGGGGCCCCGCTCGTTCCGAATCGTGCTCCCGCTGCAGCGCTGGCATCATTTCCGCCGGCGCCTGGGCTGCACGCCCGAGCCGGCGCACGGGCCGGCGCTCGGGCCGCCGGGTCCGGAGCCGGTTCCGGCCGCCCCCGGAAAATGGAGTTCCGAGGCGGCGCCGAAAAAAGGCCATTCCAATACACATTTTTCTATTGAAGATGCTCAATTTCTGCTTCCGGCGCCCGGGAGGCCTCCTGGGCCGATTCCGACGCCCGGGCCGGCGCCCGAGCCGGCGCCCGGGCCGGACGCCCGAGCCGGCGCCCGGGCCAGCGCCCGGGCTGGGTCCGGAGCCGGTTCCGGCCGGCGCCGGAAAATCGAGTTCCGAGGCGGCGCCGAAAAAGGCCATTCCAATACACATTTTTCTTCTGAGAATGCCAAATTTCTGCTTCCGGCGCCGGGGGGGCTTCCCGGGCCGATTCCGACGCCCGGGCTGGCGCCCGAGCCGGCGCCCCCGGGTCCGGAGCGGGTTCCGGCCGGCGCCGGAAAATCGAGTTTCGAGGCGGCGCCGAAAAAAGGCCATTTCAATACACATTTTTCTTTTGAGAATGCTGAATTTCTGCTTCTGGCGCCCGGGAAGCCTCCCGGGCCGATTCTGGCGTGCTTCCGCTCGTTCCGCATCGTGCTCCCGCTGCAGCGTTGGCCTCATTTCCGCGCTTCCGCTCGTTTCGACTCGTGCTCCCGCTGCAGCGCTGGCGTCATTTCCCGTGCCATGCCACTGCATGCAATGCAACGCTAGGTTGCTACTACGCTTCGCGGTGCTCTTCTACGCCATGCCATGCCGTGCTCTACAATGCATCGCGTACCGTTTCGGGATCATTGCCTTGCTCGACATCCGGCTGTGCGAGTAGAGAGGGGATCTGCGCCATGGTAAGGGGTGGGAGGGAGGGGTATGATGTCAGATATGACGCGAGCGCACCTAGCTTGCCTCCCCCCCTCCCCCTCCTCCCTCCCTTCCCCTCCCCTCCCCTCCACCCCCTCCCTTCCCTCCCCTTCCCCCCTCCCTCCTCTCCCCTCCTTCTCCTTCCCTCCCCTCCCCTCCTCCTTCTCCCCCTCCGCCTCTCTCCGCCCCCCCTTTTTCTCTCCCTCCCCTCCCCCCTGCTCTTCTCTCTCTTCCCCTCCTCCTCGCCCCCTCGCCTTCTCTTCCTTCTCCCGCTCCCGCCCCCCAGGGTCGACCGTCCGCTGTGCGACAGGTTCGTGGGCTCGTGGGGCCAGGCGCCCCCCTCCCTTCCCGACGCCTCCGTCGCGGGCGGACCACGACCGTCCGCAGCGGTCATGGGAGGGAGGGGGGAGGGAGGGAGGGAAGGATGGAGGGAGGTGGGAGGGAGAGAGGAGGAGGAAAAAGAGGATGAATATGAGGAAGAGGAGGAGGAGGAACAGGAGGAACAGGAGGAGGAGGAGGAGGAGGAGGAGGAGGAGGAGGAGGAGGAGGAGGAGGAGGAGGAGGAGGAGGAGGAGGAGGAGGAGGAGGAGGAGGAGGAGGAGGGGGAGGAGGAGGAGGAGGACTTTTTCTTGTGGGCCACTGCCAGGCAAGCTTCCGCAGAACTGGCAGGCAGGAAGTTCATCATAACAAACAGGGACGCAAGGACCCACCCGCGAGCGCCAGAAACTACCTCCACCCCCTCGCGCCGAGAGTGCCAGTCTGCGCGCCGATACCTCGGTGGAGCTTTGCCAGCAGCTCTTGGAAATCGCCCCCAGTTCGCTGGGCTTCCCAAAGGGCCCAGTCCTCTGGAGCAAGAGGCCCGCGCACATTGACAACAGAGGGACACTGCAAGCTGCCTCGCTCCTCCAACGAGGAGGTGGCGGCTTGAGCAGTATGCGCTGCTTTCGCATCTCCGCCAGAACCACAACTCGCCTGGGAGGAGCCCTGGGCGCCACTCCGCGGCTAGCTGAACCTGCTCCTGGGTCGAAGGGATCAGCACGATCGGTGAATTCGGACAGAGACTGCGAATGCACCGAAGCCTCCGAGAGCGCCAAATCCAAAGCCGCGGAATCGGAACAAATGCCACCACGGCTGGAACCAACCATGGCCGCCCAAGCATTCGGGCCACCCACACCTCTGGCCAGGCTTGGTCAGGAACCGCACACGGCCTCCAAAGCCAGCCCCGCCGCTGCGGCGAAGGGCGCGCCGGGCGGCGACGAGGCCTCGGCCTCCGAGGCATGACATTGCGCCCCTCCACTGGCCACCAAGTGCGCGGCCAGGGGCAGGCTTGAGCTCAGAGCACCCACGGCCTCCAATGGCAGCCCCTCCGACGCGGCGAAGGGCGCGCTGGGCCACGACGCGGCCTCGGCCTCCGGTGTATGACAGTGCGCCCCCCCGCTGACCACCAGACGCGCGGCCGAGAAAAGGCTTCACGCCGGTCGTTGAAGGCATGTATTTCTGGACTCCCAGATCCCAATCTACTTCAAGCGCCTTCCTGCTTCAAGAGCCGACCTGATTTTGCAGTGTTTTGCTGTTCTCTGGGAGGGCCTGGACCCAATCCACTTTATCCGCCTTCCTACTTCATGTTTTTACATACTTCTTCCGACCGACGTGTAGGGTAATAGACGCCGCCCCCAGCCTCCAAAGCATACGATAGCCCCGCCGATGCGGCGATGGGCAGGCTGGGCGACGATGCCTCAGCCTCCAATGGGTTGCAAACGTGTGCCGCTCCGCTGGCCACACAGGGGGCAGCCAGGGCCAGGGGCAGCCATGAGGAGGAGGAGGAGGAGGAGGAGGAGGAGGAGGAGGAGGAGGAGGAGGAGGAGGAGGAGGAGGATGAGGAGGAGGAGAGGAGGGAGGAGGAGGAGGAGGAGGAGGAGGAGGAGGAGGAGGAGGCGGAGGAGGAGGAGGAGGAGGAGGAGGAGGAGAAAAATAGGAAGAGGATGAGGTCGCCCCCGAAGTCGATTGAGGCCCAACCGTCCACCCCAGCCATCGACCCCATCTCGCTGTGTGTCGTGGGGTCCTGTGGTGTCGGAGGTGTGGGTGTTGGTGGTTTTGGGCCTCCAGGAAATTCAAGGAGCAGCGCACCCCACCAGGCAACAGCCAGAGTGGGGGGCACAAGGCAATTTCGGAACTCACCAAGGAGCAGCTCCCAAGGGGAGCACGTGAGCCCCGATCGTCCCCCTGCATTGGCCAGTATACGCTCCCGTTCGATACTTCCTGAAGGTGTATTCGCAGAGGCCCTTGGCAGAGGCCCCCGAACTCAAGAGTCTGGCGCTTTCGCTCCAGACTTTCTCGTCTTTCAGGCAAGTTGGTGGAGGCCGAGACACGGCGACAAGGGTTCCCGTTCGATATTTCTCGACATGTATTCTGAGAGACCCTGTCCAGAGAGGCCCCCGAACTCAGGAACGGCGCTCTCGCTCGAGAGTTCCTCGGATTTCAGTCAGTGGCCGACGAGGAAGATATTCCCCCCCGAGTGGAGGTGCGATCGAAGACGAAGTGGGCGGGTATCGAGGGTGGGGGTATACAGAATGCAAGACGCGGGTGCCAGTGAGAGCGATCAGCCTTGAAATGGTTGAGTGTCAATTTCTAAGCAATTCTAGATGTTAAGTCCGTTAAGGCGCCGTGGCGTTCCCGCCTAGGCGACGGCTACGTTTTCATTGAAAATGAGGCTCACGCTCGAGCGGCTGGGGGGGCCGCCAAAACCGGCCTCCCAACAGCAACGCTCCCGCTCGAGACTTCCTCCTTTCTTACTCAAGGCTGGTTCTTGCTCACCACCGAAAGCCGCCGTCCAAACAAAACCAGCGCTCCCGCTCGAGACTTCCTCCCATCTTACCTTGGACTGGCGCGCCAGTCTTTCTCTCATCGGCGCCGCCCCCAGCAAAAAACAACGCTCCCGCTCGAGGCCTCCTCCCTTTTTTACTCAAGGTGGTGCCCCTCCTCGCCGCCGAAAACCGTTGCCCCGACAAAACCAGCGCTCCCGCCCGAGAATTCCTTCCGTTTTACGCTGCGCAGGCGCCCAATTTTCCTGTGAATGGGCGCCACTCCCAGCAAGAACAACGCTCCCGCTCGAGGTTTACTCTCTCCTTTCTTTTTCCTGAAGACGGTGCTGTTTCTCGCTGCCAACAACCCCCGTCCCTACAAAACCACAGTTCCCGCTCGAGACCTCCTCCTTGCTTACTCAAAGCGGTGTTTTTGCTCGCCGCCGAAAGCCGCCGCCCCGAAAAAAAATAGCGCTCCCGCTCGAGATTTCGTTTTGTTTAACGCTTGACTAGCGCCGTACTCTCGTCAGCGTTGGCGCCGCTCCCAGCAACAACTGCAGCCCTGCTCGAGACTGCCTCCCTTTCTATTCAGGGCCAGGTCCTTGCCTCACCGCCGACAGCCCCCATCCCCACCAAGGCAATCCTGTCGTTCGATACCCCCTTGTGCCTTACCCTTCGCTGGGGTTCCACTTGGCGGTCCCGCATCGGCGCAGCAAGGCGCGGGCATGTGTTTTCGAGGCGGGATATGTTGAAATTCGTCGGAGGAGACCTCATTGGGCGGGAGATCTGGGAATGGGAATAACGGCTATAGAACAAGAGTCCCCCATGTTGTGGATGCTTAACGTGATGGTCGCATGCTTCGTGTGGAAACATAGCGCATGGGGGTGAACTGATTGTTGTTTTTGCTATTGAATTTTTATCTATGAAGAATAGTTATTGTTGATCCCCCCCGTCCGGTGCACATCATCTTTTCGATTGAAGTGCCCTTCCCGGGGCTCGCACCCGGTTTTTTATCAGGGAAAGCATTGAAGGTCAAACTGTGTCGTTGGCCCCCGGTTTACAACAACAACGGCTCCCGCTTGATATTTCTTCACCATTTATAGAAGAATCGCGCTCTCGTTTGGGACGTCCTTACAATTTACCACCGGATCGCGGCTCCCGCTTGATACGTTTTCATAATTTATTGAAGAATCGCGCTCTCGCTTGGGACTTCCTCCCAAATTACCACCGAATCGGCAACACCCCAACATACTTATACTATATGTGCGTCGCCCCCCCAGGGGCGACGCGCGCACCGAGAAATCTTATAGTATATGCGTCGTGGCGGGCGCTTTCTGGCCACACCGCTCGGGAAACGATATACAACAAGATGGGTATACTATATGTTTGGGTCGGACGCGCGCCTCCAAGGAGGACATATAGTACTAGTATGTCTTTGTGCTTCCCACCGAATCTCGGCTCCCGCCTGATACTTCCTCACAATTTATTCAGGTGCCGTTCCTCGACGCTCAGGAGTCGCGCTTCCGCTACATATTGCTTGGCGGTTCAAGCAGGCTTTACGCTCCAACGACCCGCCCGCTCGACCCGCCCGTCTGTGCCTGCCCGCCCGACCAGCCCGTTAGGGACTGCAGTCGCCGCTCGCTGCCCTTCGCCCGCCTTCGATGCCCCTCGCTGCCCGTACTGGTTCCGCGGTCGCTTTCGTTCGCTGCCTTTCGTGGCCCCGTTGCTGCCCTCAGTGGCCCCGTCGCTGCCCATTGTGGCCCCGCATTATTTGCCCTTCGTGGCCCCCGCTCGCAGTCGCCCGTCGTGGCCCCATACGCATGCCCTTCGTAGCCCCGCTGTCGCCCTTCGTGGCCCTCTCGCTGCCCTTCGTGGCCCCTGTGCTGCCCTCAGTGGCCCCGTTGTCGCCCTTTGTGGCCCCATATACGAATGCCCTTCTTGGCCCCCGCTCGTTCGCGCCCGTCGTGGCCCCATATGCATGCCCTTCGTTGCCCCGGTGTGGCCCTTCGTGGCCCCCTCTCTGTCCTTCCTGGCCCCGTTTCTACCCTCAGCGGCCCCGTCGCTGCCCTCTGTGGCCCCGGATTAATTGCCCTTTGTGGCCCCCGCTCGCTCGCGCCTTTCGTGGTTCCATACGCATGCGTCTCGTCGCCCCGCTGTCGCCATTCGTGGCCTCCTCGCTGCCCTTCGTGGCCCACTTTCTGCGTTCAGTGGCCCCGCTGTCGCCCTTTCCGGCCCCATATATGCCCTTCGTGGCCCCCGTTCGTTCGCGCCCGTCGTGGCCCCAAATGCATGCCTTTCGTGGCCCCGCTGTCGCTCTTCGTGGCCCTTTGTGGCCCCGTTTCTGCCCTCAGCGGTTCCGTCGCTGTCTGCGGCCCCCTATACGTATGCCTTTCGGGGCCCCCGCTCGTTCGCGCCCGTCGTGGCCCGCGCCAACAGGTTCCCGCCTCCCGCCTGCGTTCCCGCAGGTTTTCGGAACCTCTGGAATTGCTCGGTGGTCATCGAGGCCATTCCGATGCCTCCCCGAGGTCATAGGAGGTTTTCGGCTGCTTTCCAATCCCCCGCGATTTGTTTCCGCACCAGTCTCCGCTCGTATCCACCTGCCCCCACTTTCCAACGTTTTTCCATGTCTTTTTTTGACTCTGCCCCATTTTCCTTTTCGTTCGTACTCCATTGTGCTATTCTTCAGTTCTTCGCATTCCGCCCACTCCTCCCCAGGACACCCCATCCCACGCCAACAATCTCCACCCCTTCCCGCTCGCATTCCGCATTTCTTCCAAATTATTCTTGGTCCCTCCTCCAGATTCCTCAGTGCGCCCCCCGCTCCTCCGCACTCCTCCCAGCTCCTCTTCTCCACTCCTTGCCGCTCCTCCTCTTGAGATCTTACTCTTGTCCACTCCATCCCAATCCACCCCGCATCCCCGCGCTCCTTTCGACGCGCTTGCAGTTCTCATTATCCTTCCGCCCCGCTCTCGCAACATCCGTTTCTTTTCAGGGTTCCACGGAACTTGTTTTTGACGCCAGTTCGCAGCTGTGCGACCCCCCGCGGGGGTATCCACGATCTGTTCTTTCGGGGGGGGGGGGGGGCGTGGCGCTGTTTATGGCGCGACCCATGGCGAAACTTATTGTTAACCTGTGTTGGAGTGGCTTGCGCAAGCTGAACCGCCATTCGCAGCGCAAATCATCGTCCTCTCTCCTTCTTGCCCCTCCCCTCTCTCCGATCCCTTCGTCCTCATTATCCCCCGTTGTCCGTTGCTTTTTGTTTTCAAGGACGCGCGAGCAGATAAGAGCGAACAATATTAACATGATTGTTGTTGTTGTCGTTGCTGTAACAGTAGTTATTGTTATTGCCGAATTTTCATTTATAAATAATTATGGTTGATCCCCCCACCGATGCGTATTGTTGTTCTCAGGCGAAGTGTGGCCCTCGACGCGCGCATTTTTAATATAATAAAAAGTGTATGTATGTATGTATGTATGTATGTATGTATGTATGTATGTATGTATATTATTATTATTACCATTGTTTATTATTATCATTTTTTTTTTTCGTATGATTATTATTATTATTATTATTATTCTTTTTTTATTAATAATATTATTTTTATTCTTATTTTATTTTATTATTATTATTACTGTTATTATTATTATTATTATTATTATTATTATTATTATTATTATTTTGATTGTACAACAAAGCAGGGCAAGTCTTGAGGCCTAAACTGGCCCGCTGGCCCCCGGACTACAACAAGAACGGCTCCCGCCTTAGACTTCCTGACAATTTCGCCAGGGCCGCCGCTCCCGTCCGAGACTTCCTCGCATTCTATTCAGGAATCGTGCTCTCGCTTGGGACTTTCTTACGATTTCTTCAGGAGTCGCTCTACTGGCGCTGTGGAGTCTCTCTCGCTGGGGACTTGCTTGCAATGTGCTGAAAAAAAGCGCCCTTGCGTTGGAATGTCTTGCAATTTCTAGACGCTTCGCGTATCCCCACCAGCCCGTCCAGAAATGAGTCCCAGAGGAGTGGAGGTTATGAGGGAAGCGGGGGCGCATGCAGAAAAACAAAGGGCGGGGTGAGCCGCCATATGCCCCAGGAGGGGGGGGGATGTAAGGGGAACCGTCGTCGCCGGAGTAGGGGAGGAGATGGAGGAGCAGGAGGAGGAACAGGAACAGGAGGGGGAGGAGGAGGAGGAGGAGGAGGAGGAGGAGGAGGAGGAGGAGGAGGAGGGGAGGAGGGAGGAGGAGAAGAGGAAAAGGAAGAGGAGGAGGAGGAGGAAATGGAGGACTGCGAGGACGAGGAGGACGAGAAGGAGGAGAAGGAAAAGGAGGAGGAGGAGGAGGAGGAGGAGAGGAGGAGGAGGAGGAGGAGGAGGAGGAGGGGAGGGGGAGGGGGAGGAGGAGGAAGAGAGGGAGGAGGAGGAGGAGAGGAGGAGGAGGAGGAGGAGGAGGAGGAGGAGGAGGATGAGGAGGAGGAGGAGGAGGCGGACAATGGCGAGCTTGGGGGCCTCTTGGGCCTTCTTTGGGGCCTCTTGGCGGTCCCAGGGGCCTCTTGCGTATATCGGGGAGCCTCTTGTGGCCTCTTGAGGGTCCCTTGGGTGCCTCTTGGAGGCCTCTTGGGGGCCTCTTGGGGCCTCTTGGGGCCCTCCGGGGGCGCTTTTGGGGCGTTTTTGGGAGCCTTCGGGGCGCTTTTGGGGCCATCTTGGAGGAGAGCTATCACAGAAGGGGGGGTCGTATACTAGCTCTGCTCCTCTAGAGTGTCTCGAATCGCCTCTGAGGCCGGCCCAACATACGTATGCCCTTCGTGGCCCCCGCTCGTTCGCGTCCGCTGTGGCCCCATGTGCATGCTCTTCGTGGCCCCGCTGTCGCCGTTTGTGGCCCCCTCACTGTCCTACGTAGCCCAGTTGCTACCCTCAGTGGCCCCATTTTTGCCTTCTGTGGCCCCGCATTATCTGCCCTTCGTGGCCCCCTCTCGTTCGCGCTCTTCGTGGACCCATACGCATTCCTTTCGCGTCCCCGCTGTTGCCCTTCGTGGCCTGCTTCGTGTCATTGTGGCCCTGCTGTCGTTCTCTCGCTCTCGCTTTCGCTCGTCGTCGTCGTCGTCGTCGTCGCCGTCGCCGTCGTCGTCGTCGTCGTCGTCGTCGTCGTCGTCGTCGTCGCCGTCGTCGTCGTCGTGGTCGGTCCCCTGTCCGTCCCTCTTGGGGTCGGGTCGACGGTCCGCGGCCGCCCCGCCGATCAGCGCTGCCGCTGGCCAGGCCGACGGTCCGCGGCCACCTCGCCGCTTGCCGGGGCCCGGCCTGCAGGGAAGAAAGGTATACCCCCCAAAAAGGGGTTCGATCGAAGACGAAGAGGGCGGGTATCGAGGGTTTGGGAAATTCGCGTTATTGGACACTCGAGCAGATAAGGGCGAGCAGTCTCAAAATTATCGTTGTTGTTTTTGTTGTTGGTGGTATTGTTCCATCACCACCAACGCCACCACCGCATCTACCCTCCTCTTTTCTCTGCTCCTGCCCCCACTCCCTCTCCGCCGCCCGTGCTGCAGCTGCAGCCCCCCTTGGTGCTCCAGTGCGTCCCCCTGTTGCTTCCGCCGCCTCCTCTGCCGAGCAGTGCTGCTGCCTCTTCGGCCGCCGCCCCTCCCGCGGCAGTCCCCGCCGCAGTCCCCGCCGCTGGGCCTGGAGCTGGTGGCGGACACCGCGCGGGCCGGGTGGGCGCAGGCGGGCTCGGGCCATGTCGGAGGGGCGGGGGCAGAAAGAAAGAAGGGCTAAATCATGTGGAGGAGGAGGAGGAGGAGGAGGAGGAGGAGGAGGAGGAGGAGGAGGAGGAGGAGGAGAGGAGGAGGAGGGAGGAGGAGGGAGGAGGAGGAGGGAGGAGGAGGAGGGAGGGGAGGGAGGAGGAGGAGGAGGAGGAGGGAGGAGGAGGGAGGAGGAGGGGAGGGGGAGGAGGAGGAGGAGGAGGAGGGGGAGGAGGGAGGAGGGAGGAGGGAGGAGGGAGGAGGAGGAGGAGGAGGAGGGAGGAGGGAGGAGGGAGGAGGAGAGGATGGGGCGGAGCACGAGGAGCAGGCGGAGGAGGGGGCGGAACACAGGGAGGAGGAGGAGGAGGAGGAGGAGGAGGAGGAGGAGCCTCCAGATCGATGCATTTGATCATTTTATCGGTTGCTCCACACTATTCCATAAGCAACGGCGCGCAGGTCACGCTTATCTCCAAAAGCTGATTTTGATTATAATGAAAATTCAAGAGTGCAGCTAGTGTTTTGGTCGTAGTCGACATAGATGAGGTGTCTAGACACTTCAGATTGGCGCTTTTGATAATTCCCTGTCGATTCGTGTGCATATCAGCCCGTAGCTCGCCTACAGCTCGAATTAAGTACAGAAAGAAGCATCGCCTTTTTAAAAGTTTGCAGAGACCGAATAGTTTTTTCAGCCGGAGCCCTGGTGGCAGACCGATTTCAGAAGTCTCGATCTTGTAGACTAGCGCTTCTGGTCATTACCGGTGCGGAAGTGTGCATCTCAGCCGTAGCTCGCCTAGATCTCCAATTGAGTAGAACAAGCAGCATTGTCTCTCTTAAAAAGTTGCAGAGTGCAAATCATTACTTGGTCGCAGCTCTTGTAGCAGACCGATATGAAGCATCGAGATATTCTAGACTAGCGCGTCTGATCATTTTTTGGTGTGTCTTCCAGCTCCATAGCTCGCCAGCAGCTCGAATTAAGTAGAGCAAACCAACATCGCCTATCAGAAATTTGCAGAGCGCGAATCGTTTTTTAGTTGCAGCTTTGGTAACATACCGATCTGGAGCATAGACGCTTTAGACTAGCGCATCTGATGATTTCCTGTCAATGTGTGTCCTTCAGCTCCGTAGCTCGCCTACATATCGAATTAAGTAGAGGAAGTCAACATCGCCTCTTAAACATTTGCAGGGTGCGAACAGTTTGTAGTTACAGCTCTGGTAGAAGACGACCTCAGGCGTCTAGATACTTCGACTAGCGCTTCCGATCATTTCCTGTCGGGGTGTGTGCATCTCAGCACCATGGCCCAGCTCTAGTTCAAGTTAAATAGAGAAAACCGACATTCTCTTTTTAAAAGTTGCAGGGTGCGAGTAATTGCTCGGTCGCAACTTTGGTCGTTGACTGTTTTCTGGCGACTTCATGCTCCAGACTAGCGCGTCTGATCATGTCCTGTCGATTGGTGTGTTGTCGGTCGAAGAAGAAAACAACCAACGTCGCCTTTTAAACATTACATAATGCGAGTAGTTTTTCGGTCGCAGCTCTGGTAGCAGGCAGATGTCAGGCGTCCGCATACTTGGAACTGGAACTGCTCATTATTTTCCGTTGAATGGTGTGCATTTCGCCTCTAGGAGTGGTCTGTAGCTCGAGGTACCTGCCAAAAAACATGTGGAGGACCCCTCCACAGCAAAAATCGCATAACCCGCCTCGTTGACTTTTTCGTGTAATATCCACCCCATTGACCCGAGATCAAAATCGCGAGCGGGAATAAGATCAAAGGTGTGGGCAAAATGCCTCTTAGAGTTCTTCGGCGGGATGAGCTAGAGCAATTCTAGCGCGGGGTGGAGCTAGTTGACCGACCCGGCCAGGGCAGACAATGTGGGAACTTTGGGCCGGTTTTTTGAAGAATGAGAGATTTGACAGTTCGTTTTTGAAAACCAAGGTTTTTTGCACCTGTACTAGGTTATGCCGCGTTCGCTAGTGAATTCTTTGGTAGCTGCAGTACCTCGTAGAGCTCTTCGACATCGATGAGCTAGAGGAAATCCGGCGCGGGGTGGAGCTAGTTGACCGACCCGGCCAGGGCGGGACAATCGATCTATATATATATGTGTATATATATACACATACACAACTAAATATGTATAAAAGTATATATATATGTGTGTATTAAAAAAGCTGAGAGATTTGACAATTCGTTTTGAGATCTATTTTTTCTCACGCGTGTAGTAGGTTATGCCGCTTCTGATGGAGAAATTCTCAGGTCCGTAGGTACAGTAGTATAGACGTGGGGGAACCGACTTCAAGTTGAAATGAACAATACATTGAGGTTTGTGGTTTTGCACGTTTTTAAGAAATTCGACAATTCGAATCAGAATCGAAGATTCTCATACTCAACATTGAATGGCGCTGCGCTTCCTGGTGGAAGTCTTAGGCCTGTAGCTGCAATATTTCGATCGATTTATTTTCAGAGTCTGCTCTCAAAAATAACACGTTCTCGAAGAAGTTCAATGTTTTTGTTGTTGAGAATTTCAGACATTTGGCCATTTGTGTGGCAATGAAGTTTCTCTGCAATTAGAGTAGATCCTGCTTCGTTTGCTAAAAATCATCATATATCTATCTGCTAATGAGAATAGTTATGCAACTGATTTTCCGTTAAGCTCCAACAGATGATTTCCTCCAGTTTTCAAGCTGGTATTCCATGGAGCTGTCTGTCCGCATTGACAGCGCTGTTATCCCTCTAACGAGCTCTACGAGGTCTCCGGCAGTAACCTGGTTGATGGTTTACCGCCGGCACCCAGTACTATTACCAAAATACGGATCGGAACTATTTCAAGTTATAATGAAGAATTTGTTTTTGTGGTTTTTGAAATAGCCATTGGATCACGTTGCGCTCGCTGGTGAAAGTTTCGGGGCTGTCGCCGCAGTGTTCCTATCGTTTCACTTCCATGTACCGACCTCAAAGATGGAAGTTTTGGAAAAATCCAGGTTCTCTAGAAAGTCTGACTTGGCGATCCGTTCGGGAATAAAGTTCCTTTGCAAATCGAATGGTTTTTGTTCCGCTCGCTTGCAAATTGTTGGGTCTCTAGCTGCTATAATGCTCCAACATATTATTCTGCAAGCGACTTTTCCCTAGAACCCCAACGCTGATTTTTTATCAAGATTCAACCTGATATTCCAGGGAGCCTACTGTCCGTATTCACAGCACTCTTTTGCATCTGCGGAGCTCTACGAGGTCCCCGGCGGTAGTCAGGCTGACGGTTTACAGCCGCCACTCAGTTATAGAGCTCAAACAAATGGTTGAATTTCGATATTGTTTCGTTCGTTTTTTCCTTTTAAGTTTTTTTGTTTGTTGTTGTTGGTTGTTTTTGTTTTCTTTCTTTCTGTCATTATAAATATATACACATTATAGTAATATGTTTAATGTCATATATTATGTGTATTCCACGTGTATATATACACATATATGTATATATGTATGTATATTTATATATGCACATATATATAAACATAACATATATACACATAACAAAGTCTCGCCAGCAAAACTGGGTGCCAGCGGTAAACCGTCAAGGTTACCGTTGGGACCTCGTAGAGCTCCGTGCACTCATTACAGTGCTGTCAATGCGGATAGTAAGTCTCCGAAATATCAGCTTCAGAAATACAGTGTATATACAAATCTATTGCTTACACATGTTTGTTCATTTTACATCAGCTATCGACCCGGTATTTCCCGAGCGAACATGACAGAAACTACGCCCGTAGCGACGGAACTTCATGCCCACACGAATCATCGACATTTTGAAATTTCTTGGAAATCTTCATTTTCCAGCATTTTTATTTCAAGGTCGTGAAAATGAATCGAGATAAACGTTTCATTTACAGCCCTGATATGTTCACCAGAAAACGCAGCGTGATCCAAGGCTCAGTAGGAACATCTCAGATTTAGAAACGAATGGTCGAATCTTTCAAAATCTTGCGAAAACTGAAAAACTCGATTTTCGGTACAAACTTGAAATTTGTTTCTTTACGTCTTTTCATAGTACTTCTGCAGCTATGGACTTGGGCATTCCACGAGCAGACGCGGCAGAACCTATCACAGGTTACAGAAAAGCTGGTTCTCAAAACGAATTGTCGAATCTCTCACAATGTTCGCCCAACCGACCCGAAGTTCCCACATTGTCCGCCCTGGCTGGGCCGGTCAGCTAGCTCCACCCCGCGCTGGAATTCCTTTAGCTCGTCGCACGGAAGAGCTCTACGAGGTATTTCCGTCGAGATATTTCGAACCAGCGAGCCCGCCGGCGCTGTGGAATTGCTCTAGAGCTGAGCCGCTTTGTTTATGGGGGAACTCTACGAGTCATACAGTCGAAGGTCCGCACGGGGCGACAGGCGCGGGCCATCACCTCGGCCATCAGCTTTTGTTGCGGCCGCCCTACACGGGTTGCAAGAGGTGCGGGGCCCACGCTAGCAAGCAAGGCCGTTTGTTGGGCTCGGAGTGCACGGGGGACCTGCCCGCGGTGTGCCCGTGTAAGTCCCAGGCGGAGAAGCTGAGAGCTCGGCGGCGAGATCGTCCGGCTGCAGCCCTTCATTTGCCACGGGCAAGCCGTTGGGGTAGTGGTGAGATTCGGTCGGCGGCGGTCGTGAGTGTCTCGCTCCGTCGCGAAGCCTGTTGCAGGAGATAGGCAGCGCGCGGGCCGTCCTGGCCGTTTCCGCGCTGACTGGCCAGCGCCAGGCCCTCTCTTGAGGCCAGCAATCTGGGGATTGCACTGGTCAGCATCTGCTTGCCTGAGCCCTGTCCCAGGCGTTGTTCCTTGCATCTGCTTCGGGCGGCGCCTCTCGACACACGGGAGCACGGCAGAACGCGCAGGAGCACGGCTGAACGCAGGAGCAGGAGTCCGCAGCCATTTTGGCTCAAGGCCATGGAGAGCCCGACGACCGCACGTCGTTCGCGGCGCTCTGAACGCGAGGGTCTCCGCGCTTTGGGCCAGTGCAAATTC